CCCAATAAACTTTATATATGGTAGCAGTACGTAATTCCCATCAGAATCAGGAAATGCAAATGAGCTTCTCTTGGTGGGAATCTCCAGGACTATTGATCTCCTAGATTAGAAAAGAATCTTACTACTTGGATTTATTGAAATTGGCTTGTCTACTGCCAGAAAAAAATGATGGTAAGTGCCAGTTGTCACCATGCTTTCCAGAAATTAACCCATTTAATTCTCACTCAAATCTTGTGACGGGGCCATCCTTATCATCGATGTTTATATTTTATAGAGAAGAAACTGAGGCATAGAACAAGCAGCTGAGCCCAGAACTAAACTGGGACAGCCTGATTCTCCCTGGGACTAGAACTTAACCAATGTCCTATGCTCTTGTCAAAACACAGAGTCATTTTTGATTTCTTGACCTTGGCCAACAAAAATAGTTAATATAGTGTTCAGTGCCTAATACCCAGAGTTCTTAAGGTCATATTTTTTTGGGGGAAAATATCTATGACAATCTGTTTATTTTTAGAGCAATTAGTAAAAACAATATCCCAGGAAAATTTGTAATTTATTTTTGGATAATAATTTTTCAGAGTAATAATACTGGAGCTTTGAGTCCTAAGCTCACAGATTAATACCTAATTGGTAAAAGAGACAAGGAGACACCAGGATGAGGGCTGCAAAAGACAGAGCAGAGAGATAACATGTGTCTGATTTATTTTAATACCTCTCCTTTGAGTTCAGTGCATACTGGGAACAGTTTTTACCAGGGATATTTGTATTTCCATAAATTGTTTTCCTTTCTTAAAACTTTAAGGTATTTGCACATCTAGATGCCTATCATTAGGGCAAATGTAACCACCTACATTAATAATAATAAATTACTTAATAATACTTAATATATAATTTGTACGGTCAACATGTTGAATAAAAATATTACGTCTTTGGGCAAATAATTCTAATCATGCTTAATTCCGTTTTATTAATCATAGTCACATGTAACTTCTAATCAATTGAAAAAATAAGAGTTTTAGCAAAGCTATTACATGAGTGACAGAAATCCCATTTTATAATTGTGATGGGGGATGCTTTTTCTACTCTAGTAAGCCCTACATACCTTCAATCATTTACAGCCCCTTTTGGGGAATGAGGAAAAGATTAGAGAACATCTAATGATAATTATTTAAATTGCTAACATCTATTTGGTTGTGATATTAGGAAAAAAAGATATCCAATATAGGGTGGCGGGAGAACGAGATAGACTCTCTGAAAGCCGCAGACATCTCAACAGCAAGAATTCCCAGTGAGTAATTGCTATTCACTGTTTTCTCTTCCCTTCTTTCTTCCCTCCCTCTTTCCCTGCCTCTCTCTATTTTTTCTTTTTTAGGACAGCTTTATTGAGCTATCATTGACCTATAAGAGTGATATATATATATAAATTCAAGAATTTTTTTTCTAGTTGTGGATGTAGGTACACAATACCTTTGTTTTACTTTTATGTGGTGCTGAGGATCGAACCCAGTGCCTCACACATGCCAGGCAAGTGCTCTACCATTGAGCCATAACCCTAGCCCCAAGAATTGTATATTTAAGATCTACCCTTTGATTATGAAATATATTCCTGGGGTGGGGGGAAGGGAGAGACATTGATCAATAGGTACCAAGTTTCAGTTATGCAGCATGAGTAAGCTCTGGGGAGCTAATGAATGTGCAGTTGGTGACTGTAGTTAAAACACACTACATTGTTTGCCTAAAATGTGCTAAGAGGATAGGTCTTAAATCTTTCTCACCGCACATGTGCAGGCAGGGCAAGAATGTTAGAGGGAAGGTATGATTCTTTCTTTATCCTTGTTCACTGGGTGTCCTCTGAATTCCAGGCATTATTCTAGATATTCAGAGGCAATAGTGAACAAGACATTTCCTGCCCTCCTGGGGCTTAGATTTTAATAAATATACCTCCAATGTTATTCCTATTTTCTTTTCATTTTTATTGCCATTTCTCATTAATAACTTATGCTATTGTAACTAGTCCAACTGGTTCCATGGAATTTAACATTTTTCTTCTATTCTTTTTAGTATATTACCATCATATTAACTTTTCCAGTATGGTGTGTAGCTGGCTTCTCTATACATCGAGGGCCATAATAGTTCCTATTCCATAGGGTAATGGAGACAAATGAACCCTTCAGGTGAGATCTAGCCTAGTCAGTCCCCACTAAAATTGGTCCACATTATTCTTCAGCCTGTATTGGTTTCTCTCTTTCCACTAGGGAAAAATTCAGTGCTTAACCGTCACTGGAAATAGTTCAAGATTCCTTTAGGGTGTAACACAGTTCTGTATGTTTTTGAGTTTATAGTATCTTGGGTTTGGGTTCTGACGCATATGTATATTATGATACATAAAAATGATTCATTCCCCCCAAAGGATGGTAATAAGTAGACAGAAGTCATCTATTGCACTTTTCAGTATTTCAGATTCTGCCTTGTCACCCTGTCCCTAGACAGTCCATTTGTGGGATATCATTATTACTTTTCACTTATGATAATAAATTCCACATGTCTAAACTAGGACTCATGGTTTTTCCTCCCAATGTGGCCCCAGGTTGTGTTTCCCATAGTGGCTCATACCTTTGTCTAGCCAGGTGTGGTGGTGCATGCCTGTAATCCCAGCGGCTTGGGAGGCTGAGACAGAGAATTGTGAGTTCAAAACCAGTCTCAGCAATTGTGAGGTGCTAAGCAACTCAGTGAGACCTTGTCTCTAAATTAACTACAAAGTAGGGCTGGAGATGTGGTTCAGTGGTTGAGTGCCCCTGAGTTCAATCCTTGGTACAAAAAAAAAAAAAATATCTTTGCATAGGCACCACTTGTTGAGTCCAGAGACCTCAGAGTCATCCTTGATCTCTCTCTTTCTCTCTTGTTCTCTATTAAGTTCCTAAAGGAATCCTTAAGATGCTCATTTCAAAATGTTCCCCAACCCAGCCTCGTGTCCTCTATCCTGAGTTCAAAGAATCAGCTCCTCTGGCCTGGGTTGCCACGAGTTTCCTACCTGCTTCCTGCTTCTACTCTTCTTTTCCCAGACAGTAGGTTCTCACGTAGCAGCCAGAGTAATTCTTCTGAAATAATAAATAATTTAAAACATGAGTTCCTCTCCCCCTCAGTGATTTCTCATCATGAGTTTTTACCAATGTGGACACGGTTCAGAGGTCCTCCCTGACCGGGCTCTCATTGTCTACCTTCTCCTCTCTTGCTCACAGCTTTCTGGCCACATTGGCCACACTTTCTAGCCACACTTCTCACTCTCCATTCAAGACATGGTGAATACTTTCTCCCAAGGACCGCTTCAATTTCCTCTGTACACAGGGGATGCTTGCACAATGGAAAGTCTCTATCTTATGGGATACTTGGAAAGAGGACATTGAATAAGACCTGTAAATCACTGGGTACTGAATCTAATATTTAGTAATTTCTCAATAAATATTTAGACTATTGTTTCTCTTATAATTTTCTAATTTTGACCCAGATGTCCCATATTGCAAGTCAGATTCATAATTTCCAACCTGAGCTCTCAAGAGTTTCCCACAAACCAGATTTTTCTTTTCGTTCCTGTTCTAGTGAGGCCATCACAATTTTCCTAGATCCTTGTCCTCAAGCCTCTGCCCTGTCTCCTCCCTCACCCTTACTCAGATCCCATCTCATACCAATCGGCAAGTTCTACTGACTTTATTGTAGAGAATTGTTGTCTCTCCCTGATGCAGCTACGCTAGACTCTCATGATAGTTTTCTGATGGTCCTGCTTCTTGTCTTTCCTTCCCAACTATCGTGCACTCCAGTTTCAGACACGATTACCCGGCTTTGGCCTGGTTAACTCACTTCTGTGCTCAGAAATCTCTGAAGTTCCCCCGTCATCTGTAGAAGAAGGTCTCTGTGACTTGAATTATTATTTAAGGCTGCTGTATTAATCAGGGTTCTCCTGATTAATAGAATCAATAGGGTGTGTGTGTGTGTGTGTGTGTGTGTGTGTGTGTGTGTGTGTGATTGAAACTCTCAATTGTACGTTGGTTTATTTATTCTATTTATATAAAGAATGGGTTCAGATAATTCTGGAAGCTGGCTAGTCTGACACCTGGAGGGTGGGCCAGCAGGCTGCCGTGCTCGGGTCTGAGGATCAGCAGTCTGAGATCAGGAGCAAGGAAGAGCCAGCTTTGCCGGCGATGGCCAGAGGCAGTCTGCTGGAGAAAGTGTGGTCCATTAGGTGCATCTCAGCTCCTCTATCTATTTTATGGTGGTGACACTCAGTCTTGTGTGTCTGCAGAAACCATCCTGGGAGATTTAAGAATACAGTGACCTATTCCCCTTCCTAAGAGATTTTAACCTAGGAAGTGGGCCCGGGGTTCTGTGTTTCTAATGGGCATCCGGGAGACTAGTACATGGACCGCCCTTTGAGAAGCAGTGACCACTGGGAAATGGCTGGGGAAGAGCGAGAGAGGGGCCCAGGACAGCACTGCTGGGCAGTGCAGTTCAGTTCTCTCCAACTGCCCATGGGGTATCCCCGAGAAATTGGAAGGAAACCAGAAACATTCAGTAATGAACTCACAGGGCCATCAGTGCAGCACAAGGAGTGCACTCCTCCAGTGTGACCAAGAAGGGACAGTCACAAAAGGGAGAGTGGGAAATGGTCATAAAGGATGCCGAGCTGAAGACCAGTTGGGTAATGGGTTAGCAGGGTCATGTAGACATAGGCCTGCCAAGAGAGCATCCAGAGTCTGCTCAGACCCCGTCCGCAAGAGGTCCTCTGTCCATCCATGAGAACAGCACACACAGCAGTGGCTCCCGGCTTCCAGTTCCAGGAGAAAATAGCCCCCTTAGGGCGGAACTGGGCCACACAGCGAGAGAGCATTCACAGAACCCAGGGGAGCAAGGTTCCCAGATGCCCAAGAGCAAAGACATTGTTGCCTTGGTTACTGGAGCTAAATCACATTCATAGTTTTGAGAGAGAGAGAGAGAGAGAGAGAGAGAGAGAGAGAGAGAGAGAGATTGAGTGTAAGAATAAGTTAGTTTCATTTAAATTGTAAATGCATATTTTTAACTTTCTTGGGTTGTGTATTTTCCAATAATTTCCAGTGATTCTTATGTAATCCATTTAGAGCCTTCATAAAATGCTGAGTTTGAGTCCCTCCTGGTATTGTAGAGGCTGCCTGGTGCTATAGTCTGGATTTTGGATCCCAAAGGCCTGTGTGCTAAAGGATTGTCTCTTGGTGCCATTGGTAGGTGATGCAGCCTTTAGGAGGTGGGGCCCAGGAATGGAAGTGAGTTGACTGAGATGTATCCTTGAAGGAGACATTGGGACTCTTCCTCTTCCTCTCTTCTTTTTACTTCTCTGAGGCTACAAGGTGAGCAAACATCTCCCCCATGCTTCTGCCGTAATGTATTGTGTTGCTGCAGGACTAAAGCAACAGGGCCAAGTGACCACAGACTGAAACTCTTGACACTGTGAGCCAAAGTAAACCTTTTATCCTTTTAAGATGATTACCTCAGGTATTTGGTCATAGTGATGGAAAACTGACTAATACATCTGGATTGGTAAGTTTAAATGTTATAATATAAAAAATACAAAAAAGTGAAACACCTTATTTTCTACTACTTACCAGTAGCTGCTTCATTTCATTAAAAAAGTACAAAAAAATCATAGAAAGATATTTTGCTTATCTCAATTAATAAAAATAGAAAATTCCAAATGAAATACAAAAGCAGATTTCAAAACTTACCTGCAGCAGTGATGTAAATTGCATGTTAAATAATCACATTTACCATTTGAAGACAGTGTATATTTGCAAGTTCTAAAATGAAAGTTATCTATTCCAAGTTACGAAAATGTTCACTCTGCTGGTTTAAAGGATGACAGAATATGTACATGAGAACTTTTAGCAATACCACAGAATTCTAACACTGCTTTTTATGTATCAGGGATTTTTTGACAACAAAGAAAACTATGAGACAGGAACATGTTAAGGAATTTATTTAAAAAAAAACTGACTGCAGGCATGCATATGCTAAGTGCTTACTTAAGGTATCTGACATTTCACAGAGCTAGTGGAAGGACTTGCTTACTTTCCCCCCTCTCATTTCTTTCGTTCTATTCCTGCACTAAACCAGCTCATCAGAACCAAAACTTTCCAGGTCATATCATCTTTCTACCTTATTTAAGTTTTCCGAAATATTCTTTCTGCATTAATGCTATATCATCCTTTTCACAGAAGGCAGATAAAAACATTCATTTGAAGAATGCATCAGAATAACTGTGAAACTTTAGCCAAAAACATTTCTTTTATTCTGTGAGTCCATTAGAAGGACTGATGTGATTGATACATTGGTTTTTCTAACAGGCAGTCCATGTACATTACCAAATCCAGCACCCAGCGCAGAGCGCATGCTCCCTACATAATAGTTACTGTAGTTAAACAACAAAAAAAATTCTTTTAAGATTTGTTGCCAAAAAAATTGAAATTTGTTTGTTTTTTAATAAAATGAATAATATGAATAATATACTCTCACCTTTATTTATTTTATATAAAGTTGTCTCTGTATATCCAAGGGAGATTGGTTCCAGGGTCCCCAAGGATACCTAAATCCACAGACAACTCAAGTTTCTTATATAAAATGGCTTAGTACTTGCATATAACCTATGTACATCCTCTCCTGTACATTAAGTCATCTCTAGATTAGTTACAGTTTGTAATACAATGCAAAATGCTCCATAAATAGTCCTGCTACATTATTTAGGGATGAATGACAAAAAAACTAGTCTGTACATGCTCAGCACAGGTACAGTCTTGGTAAGCCTAATTACTTAGTACACATCAACAAGAACCTAACTTTTTCCTCTATAGGTGATACTGAATTCACAGGTAGAAGGGCCAATAACTGATAGAAATGAGAAACTGAATTTCGTGTTTAACTTCAATAAATGATCTTATACCAGACATTTAACACATATTTCTAGACATTTATCAGTAGTAAATAAAAGAATTACCTGGGGCTGGGGTTGTCTCTCAGTGGTAGAGCCCTTGCCTTGTGTGTGTAGGGCACTGGGTTTGATTCTCAGCACACATATAAATAAATAAAAATAAAGGTCCACCAACAACTAAAAAAAATTAAAAAAAGAACCATCTTTTTTTACATGGGTTTTAACATTCTGATATTTCAATTGGTTTGGGGGAGAATGTGAGAATAATTTAAAGAAAATAATAATAACAAATAATATTGTAAAGCCTCCATTACCTAATAATGATATACCAAGACCTGACAACCTTGACTACTAGCCTAACAAGTGTGTAATAAAACTAATGTTAATTTCCATGCACAAAGGAGTTATGGTGGTGTTCACTGTAAGACTTGGAATTGTCCTAGGTGGAGGAGCATTCATCCTTATCCTTTATACGGTATTTATAATATATAAGAGTGGAAGAGAATGACCAACCAAGGATTTGTAGACCAACTTCACTACCATCTTCAAGCCCCGGCTTGGAACCAGAGAGGTGCAAAAGCACAGTTAATCAATCCTTTGCTTTAGACTTAGATGGACCTTTGCAAGCAATACAGACCTGGATGAACTAAAAGAAAGGGAGGTGTCTTAATCTGTTTTCTATTGCTAAAGCAGAATACCAGAGACTGAGTAATTTATAAAGGAAAGAGGTTTATTTTGGCTCATGTTTCTGGAGGCTGGGAAGTCTAAGGTCAGGTGGCCATATGTGGTGAGAGACTTCATGCTGCTTTTATAATATGGCAGAAATATCAGAAGGGCAAGTGGGGAGCATGTAGCAGAGATAAAACACAAGAGGCAGACTTTCTTTGTAACAATTTTCTCTCAGGGCAATAAATCCATTCCTGTTGGAAAGGCTTTAATCCATTCATGAGCTCTCCATCCCACCACCCAAACATCTCCGCCTGCGCCTCACCTCCCAACAGTGCTGCACTGAAGAATTAAATTTCCAGGACTGGAGCCAACAGGTATGACCCACTGCAAGGAATCCTCCTGTGCCACAAAACATCACCTTGAGAAGCCTGAGAAGAAGAGAAGAATAAGGGTAAGAGCTCTGGAGACAGGGAGTACGGGGATTCCTTCCATTCCTTCTCCACAGAGTGACTTGGATCAAGGGACTTATCCTCTGAGCTTCTGTGCCTCATGTGACATAGGAGATCCCCGGTCTCAGCCGGCTTCCTCTGTCATCCCATCTCAGAGAACCACACACGGTCCTTTGCTCAGAGCCCGGGGCTTGATGGTGCTCCTCTACTCAATGTCAACTCATTTTAGTCCCTGAGAGCCTGGGTCGTGTCCGTGACACGTTAGACTGAGCTCCCGTGGTGAGTACTCATCGCCTTTTGTTGAACAGAGGAATGAAGGATTTTTTTTTTTTTTGAGGACATCATGAGATGATTTTCATGGAGAGTTCCTACGACTTTCTTTTCTTCTTTTTCTTCCCATGTACCTGAAGTTCCAGTTTTGCCTCTATATTTGTAAAGCAAGGTTAGTTAACAGACATTCTGTAAATACGTAGAGAAACTGAACAATTGAAGAATGCGAGACGGTATCTACATGGTCATGAGATCTTAGGCTAAAAGGCCAATTTTCATTCAGTTACTGGGGGGGATTGTCTGTACCCACGTAGGTTCTGTGACCAGGGAGAACTGGTTTACTTCATCGTAACTGGTGATCTCTATTTCTATGCTTGAGGCTGGCTATCAACAATTTAGGAGAGATTGCATAGATTTTCTGCCAATTTGGAGTCCTCGTCCTGTGTCCTAGACAAGAATTGCGTCTGAGCAGGCAGTGAAAAGGAAGGTCTGATGGGCAGTTTATTTCATTTTGTCCAATCAACTCAGTATTTCAGCTGTATGTGATTTTCTGTTCAAATTATGTTGCTGATTGCTTCAAATCTTTAAAACTTCCCTCTGCATGTCTAGACACATCATTAGAACTTACAAGGAAGAGGAGAGAATCAAAGTCACAAGCCCATCGCCACAGCATAGGGCATTACGGAGAGGACGACCTTGGGAATTTATGCCATTCTAAAAACAATTCATATAAAACAAGTCACACAATTTACTGGGTAAGGAAAACTATCTGGCTGGCCAGTAAATTAATATGGGACACTTAGGATAAAATACAGTCATGGCCACAATTTTTTAAAGAACTTTTTTTAGTTCTTTTTAGTAGATGGACAGAAGGCCTTTATTTTATTTGTTTATTTTTATGTGGTGCTGAGGATGGAACCCAGTGCCTCATGCATGCTAGGCAAGTGCTCTGCTGCTGAGCTGCAGCCCCGGCCCCATGGCCACAGTTTTTATATAAAAAGGGACTCAAGGAAAATTCCAATACCCTATTAAGTCTGACTTTAATTTTGTCATCTTAAGGAGTCACCTAGACATAACAATCTAATAAACTTAGTGGCTGCTCCATCATATGATTCTAAAGGGACCACAGTGGGTGGTGCGTCCTCACCACTCTTCTCCACGAGAGTCTTGTTATTGTGAATTTCTTGTCTCACCACATACTTTGCTCCTCCTCAATGTATTACTCACCACTGTACTTTCTTAAAGACCCAAGGGAAGAATGGAAATAAAGCAAATCACCCAAAGCAAACTAACCAAATACCTGTGAATGATGACTTTATGCAGAATGTTGTTAAGACTGTGAGGTACAAGGTATTGCTGACGCTTAAAAATACTTGTGGTTTTGCCACAGATGCTGTTTTAGCCTTTCTGTAGCTAGTTCCACTGGCTCATTCGCATGTTATGTGCACAGTTGTGTGTTTGACTCTTTTCTTTTTAAACGGTGAGATGAAACTGGTGGAATTAAGGGCATATGTAGTAATAATCTTATGTGCTACTTGTTGGCATTTTTTCCAGAGCCCAAATTAGATTTGTTTGGTATTAACTTTTTGTCACTCTAACAAATAGCTGAGGTAATTCACTTATAAAGAGAATATGTTCATTTTGGCTCACAGTTTTAGAGGTTCCAATCCATAATCCATTAGCCCTGATGCTCCTGGGCCTGTGGCAAGGTGGCACATCATGGAGAGATTGTTGCCAGATCAAAACTGTTCATCTCATGGTGAGGAAGTGAAAGAGAGGAAGAGGAAGAGGAAGAGGAAGAGGGAGGCTATCAACAGCCTCCTTCAAGGGCATACCCTAAAAATGTCTCCCACTAAACCCCTGCCTATTAAAGGTCCCACCACCTCCTAATAGCCCTACCCTGAGGACCATGCCTCCAATACATGGGCCTTTGGGAAACATTCAAGATACATTTACTTTTTAGGGGTCAATAATATGAAGTATGAAGTCTAACTTTTAGAAACTTTTTAAAATAGAAAAACATGCCAAGATTTACCTCTTTTACTCAATATGCCAATTCATGATTTTAATTTAGGACTAATTTTAAAATTACTATTTGGCAAATTAAAATCTTTAAATCTTTATAATAGATGTTAAGGAACTTTGATTATTTCCAGGTCTGGTGTTTTATAATTGTAAGGCAAGGGAAGGAGGCATGTTCTGACATGATTGCCCGGTATTCTTCCAATCGAATTTATTCTTTCACTCGGGAATATTTATTGAGGGCTTCCTATTTCCCAGGGATCAGTGCTGTGCTGGTCACTTTAGAAAGTGAACAAGACACTGTCCTAGCCCAAGAGGGCCTGCTGTGAGTGGAATAAGTGGACGGGTCATTCTTTCCCAGTGTTCTGAGTGCTTTGACAAAGACAAGTCCAGGGCTGCTCATGAGGGCTGCTTACAGGAAGATTCTTTGTCCAGGGTAACAGTGGTCTTCAATATGAATCATGTGAGTGGAGTGAGTGGAATCAGCAGGCATGAGCTAGTGATTTGGAGGCCACAATTATCTTGATCCCTAATTACCTAAAGGACACTTCCCGGAGTTTCAGGAAGCGTGTACAGCTGGGATAGAGATGAATTACCATGATGTGAACATTCTGAAAAATGAAAAATGATTTCTGGATCCCTTGGAAGGTTGTCTGGTGCTCCTTTCACGCTCTTTCCCACACTCACATGAGCTATTTTCCTGCACACTGAAAAATGTATTTTACCACCTCTAAGATTTATATGAAAATAAAAAATAAACAAAAAAAGAAAAGAAAAAAAAAAAACGACTTGTAAAACCCCAACTCATTGTGAGTGCTGCTGGGATAGACCTCACCTTTCCTTCCTTCTTCATCAGTCTTGTTGTGGCAGTGAGTTGCTTTTTCACACTGCATTTCTTGATTAGCTCAAACATCTGCATAATTCCATGGTGCAATATGTTGACTTAAAAATTTTGAATTTGTCTAATTTGGGTCACCTAAGGAAATCACGTGATCTTTCCTAATCATACCCTTATACTGTCTTGCAATTGTGTGATATCTGTACATATGTATATTTAAACTAATTTGAGGAGAGAAAAATATTAGAAAATTGGATTGACAATGGAAGTTGAAAAGGTTGAAATCTGAAGAACAAAATAAATTTCTTTATAAAATTAGCAAAAGATGCTATGTGATGAATATTGATTTCATATTCTCTGTCTTCTCCATAGAGAAAAAATAGATTAATTCTGCAGGAGGATAACTCTAGGTAAAAATTCTTGGAGAGCATCTTTCTCTAGAAGGTCTAAAGATTATAGAACTGGTAAGTGCAGACATTTCTATCATTTCCCTTTTGTGTCTTTTAAAATTAATGTTGATACCATCCTGATTATTGATGTATCTGTGTTCTTTTTAAAAAAACTAGATGGCTTCTTTCTTTGAGCCATATTATTCCTTCCTATATCACTGAAAATTTATTTCATGTGTTTTGTGACTTGGAGTAGTGTATCAATTGCTCTGAGTTTCCTTTTCCTTTTAAGCAAAGTGAGGATTATGATTGTTCTACATTTCAGATTGTCATGAGGATTAAATGGGACAATACTTAGAAGACTCCACTTAGCTAAAGCCCTGACATATAGTATATAATCCATAATGTGAGTTATTATTATAATTATTATTAATAAAAGTGATATTCCTGTTCAGCATCAGCCAGACCTGCATCTCTATTTTTTAAGCATTGCCCATGATTTTCTACTTATTTCACTATTTTAGAACCTTGACATACATTTGAATCTACTTGACTAATGTAAATAGACATGTGATAGGAAAGAGAGGCAACAGGCACTTACTTAAGATAAATATGGCAGGTTGGCCAGTTGCACTGGTAAAAATTACAGCATGGAGAGCCTTTATAATGTGGCCTTATTTATTAATAAATATTTATTAATTAAAGTGGAGTGAGAGCCATTGGATTTTGGGTGATAAACTGTTTCTCTAAAACTATCACTTAGATCCCTAAGCAGCCCAAACATCCATAGTTTATTTGAATTTTTCCATTTTCTGAAGGTAATTTCTCTCAGCTAATACAAAAATGATCAGAAAGCTTTGCGGGGGGGGGGGGCGTGCGGAACTCCCCCCAAAGGCCAAGATAAAATGCTGCTTGAAATAATACAACCAATGGTGACAAAAAGTGATAGCCATAACCCTATTTATATGTGGCCTTCAAAAAAAAATTTGAGGGATATAGCAAAAGCAGCAATGAGAGGGAAATTTATAGCACTAAGTGACTCTTTTGGAAAAAAAGAATATTCCCAAATTAATGGCTTCAGATCCCATAATTAGAACCATCAAGAACAAAAGCAAATGAACTCCAAGTAATCAGAATAAAGAAAACAATAAATATCTAAAAGGGAATCATAAAAGAGACACAGGAAATAATTAATAGAATAAATCAATGAAACCAAATCTGTTTCTTTGAGAAGACCAATGAAATTAGTAAACCTCATCCAGACTAGTGATGAAAAAAGAAATAAAAGTCAAATTGTCAATATCAAAATCTAGAGAAGGTGACATGACTAGAGATTCCTCAGAAATTAAAAAGATGATAAAAGAATCCTTTGAACTTCTTCATCTAAATTAAGTCAACAATTATGAAACTGACAAGTTCCTTAAAAGGCAAACCCTCAAACTCTACTCCTGAAGAATTACAGAACCTTAATAGCCCTGCATCTATTAAAGAAGATGAATTTACAGTTCCACAAAGAAAACTTCAGGCCAAGATGGCTTTAGGGGTAAGTTCTACCAAGAATTTAGAGAACTAATACCAGATCTAATCAAAATAGTCTAAAAAATTAAAGAGTAGAAAACTCTTGTCAATTCAATCCATAAAGTCAGGATTGCCTTTATGCTAAATCCAAAAAAGGGATATTACAAGAGAAGAAAATTACAGATTAATAAAACTCATGAACCTATATGATAAATTTTAGCAAATAAAATCTAAAAATATCTTAAATTATAATATATCTTGATTAAATTAGGAACAAAAGCCTGATTTTTTACATTTGAAAATACATCAATATGCTTCAGCATATCAGTGGACTAAAGGAAAATAATTATTTGTTAATACAATCACAGATAGTAGCTAATATTTGTAGGAAGAGTATTTAATAAAATTTAATTTTTCTCTATGATTTACAAAAAAATCTTTCACCAAACTAGGAAATAGAGGAACTTCCTTGATCTTAAAGTATGTGAACAGAACAAAATAATCTGTAGTTAAGTTAACACCTAATAATTAAAACATGGGATAATGAAACATTATCCTAACATTTGGAATAAGACAAGTGTGTCTGTTCTTACCATGGCTTTTAAACATCACCCTGGAAGTTCTAACCAGTGCAGTAAGACAGGAAAAAGAAATAAAAGGTATCCAGATAAAAGAACTGTCTTAATGTAAAACTATCTTTTTGCAGATGAGATTATTATATATGTAGGAAGTCTTAAGGATTCTAGAAAAACATACTAGAATTAATAAATTACAGAATACAAAATCAGTATCCAATAATCAATTACATTTTTATGTATTGGTGTGGTAGGCTAAATAACATGCCCTTCTCTAAGAAGTTCATGTCCTTATCCCTGAAACTGGTGAATATGTACCTTGCATGGCAAAGGAGACTTGGAAGTTATGATTAAGCTAAGGATTTTGAAATGCAGAGATTATATTGGCTTATTGTATTATATCTACCTAAATTTACTCAGCAATAAAAATGAATTAACTTTTGCTATATACATGAATGAATCTTAATATACTATTCCACAAAGTGCAGACATATCTGTAGCAACACCAAATTAGTCAGTGTTTGCTTGTGGATGGGGCAGTGTGAGGAGAAGTAGTAGGGAGGAATTAAAAAGGTGCCCACGGAAATTCTGGGAGGTGATCGATATGTTTGTTTTCTTGATATTGATGATGGTTTCACTGCTATAAATGAACTGTGCACTTTAAGAATGTGCCATTTGCTATGCATCCCAATTACATCTCAGTAAAGCTGTTTAAAAATGACTGTTTCATGACATGGATAAAAACCCCTTTATTCTTCAGAGAAGGTGTTTCTCTAGGTGCTTGAAGCCCCTCCAAGTTCTGATTCTGGGAAGGGGTGTCTAGTGAGGACCAGTGGAAGCAGAGGATGATGTCCCCTCTCCACTAAAACAACATCCTTCTTTCTTTTACGTTCAGACTGATACTAAGACGACCACCTGGAAGGTCTTTGTCCTTTGAACATCCCTACAAGACAAAGGGGAAGGTGGTATTTCATGCTGGCCCGTGTTTGAATGGTGACAGTCTCCTGTCAAGGGAAGCCAGGCAAGCAGGGCTGTTGCTCGGGTCGGTGCCACCTAAGTGGGTTTAGGTTCCACAACAGGGACTTGAGTAGCATTCCGAGGGCTATTCATCCACGGCAGCTGGAAGAGGATGGAACCAAAGACGAGTTTACAACCACACCTGAAGAAGACATCCGGGATCAAAGCCGGGCGTTAAATTTGAGAAACAAGCTGGTCATCAAATGAGGGGTGGGATGGTGGTGGGAGGGGGAATGTGGGAGATTTTCTAGAGTTGAGTAGCTAGAAGAAAAGTCATAAATGAAAAATGGGATGACAGGGACATGTCTTTGGTCCTAAATAGGGAAGGGTTTTCTGGAACTTCCTTTTATTAGGTGTTGACTGCATGATGTACACCTGAGTCAACTGGGTCAGAAGGAACAGGGTCTGAGGGTTGGAATAAAAGATTTGAGGTATGTTTTCCACTTTATAACCTCTGAGTAATTGAAGTGATTCATCGTAACCTGAAGACTTGGGCTGATGTCAGTGACTTCTCTGAATTTTTAGCTTGGCAGATTGCCAGTAAATGCATAGTTTCTTTTTTTGTACACATAAAATAAAATAAAAATTAAAAAAGATTTATTTCTTAAAACATTCAATTCTACTTATCATTATAGGAGAAATAGACTGGTAATAAGACAGAGAACAAGAAGAAAAAATGGCATATAATCATATAATTTACAAATATTTAAAAGATGTTCACTGAAGCCAGGTACAATGGCACATGCCCATAATCCCAGTGATTTGGGAGGCCGAGGCAAGAGGATTGCAGGTTCAAAGGCAGCCTCAGCAATTTAGCTAGGCCCTGTCTAATAATGAAAAAATGAAAAGGGCTGAGGATTTAGCTCAGTGATTAAGTGCCCCTGGATTCAATCTGCAGTACCAAAAAAAAAAAAAAAGTGCATTGTGGAATGTGTTGTAGAAATGTAAGATGTGTTGGAGGAATAGCACGTACATAACTAAAGTGATTAATGGCTCTTATATTTATAATGTCTTTAGGACTAGAAGACAAGCATTATTAAAAAAAATCAGGGCCCTTTCATCATCTGTAAAAATTTAAAATTTAAACATGATAAAGATCAAAAAAAGTATCTTCCCCAATTAGTCCTTCAACCCCATCCCCATTAGCTCTGACTTCAGGTTTTTTTTATTTGTTCTAATCAGTTATACATGATAGTAGAATGCATTTGACACATCATTCATAAATGGAGTATAACTTCTCATTCTTCTGGTTGTACATGATGTAGAATCATACCCATCATGTAATCATATATGTACATAGGGTAACGACATTCTACTATCCTTCCTACTCCCATACCCCCTCCTCTCCTTCACTCCCCTCTGTCTAATCCAAAGTACCTCTATTCTTCCCTAGTCCCATCCCCCATTGTCAACTAGCATCCACATGTCAGAAAAAACATTGGGCCTTTGGTTTTTTGGTGACTGGCCTATTTCACTTAGTATGATACTCTCTAGCTCCATCCGTTTACCTGCAAATGCCATAATCTCATTCTTCTTTAAAGCTGAGTGATATTCCATTTTGTATATCTACCACAATTTCTTTATCCATTCATCTGTTGGAGGGCACCTAGGTTGGTTCCATAGTTTAGCTATTGTGAATTGAGCTGCTATAAAGATTGACATCTTTTTGTCACTGAAGCATGCTAATGTCCTTTGGGTATAGACCCAGGAGTGGGATAGCTGGGTCAAAAGGTGGTTCTATTCCAAGTTTTCTGAGGAATCTCCATACTGCTTTTCAGAGTCATTATATCAATTTTCAGTCCCACTACCAATGCATGCGTGTATCTTTTCCCCCACATCCTCATCAACATTTATTGTTGCTTATATTCTTGATAGTTGCCATTCTGTCTGGAGTGAAATAAAATCTTAGAGTAGTTTTGCTTTGCATTTCTCTAATTGCTAGAGAGATTGAACATTTTTTCATATATTTGTTGATTGATTGTATTTCTTATTCTGTGAGGTGTCTGTTCAGTTCCTTAGCCCATTTGTTGATTAGGTTATTATTATTATTTTTTTGGTGTTAAGTTTTTGAGTTCTTTATATTTCCCGGGGGTTCATGCTCTATCTGAGGTGCCTGTAGTAAAGGTTTTCTCTCATTCTGTAGGCTCTCTCTTCACGTTTTTGATTGTTTCCTTTGCTGAGAAGCTTTTTTTCTCCCCCACATTTATAATGTCTTTCCCAACATTATCATATGTCCAAGTGCAACTCAGACCTTAACTTTTAAATCATGGCCTTGCAGTGTTTTCCAAATTCCCTTATTCCATTGGCTTGATTACTCTCTCCTTGTTCCCCCCCCCCCACACACACTTTCTCTGTACCTCCCATGATAATTTGAGTAGGGCAGGTGGATACAACTCACACAATGGCCGAGACCTGCAGCTGGGCTGGAGAACAGACTTGCCACAGCACAGCACAGCCAAAGACTGCGGGGAGACAACTGCAGACAGATGTGCCAGTGGGAGCAGCCAAAGCTCCCGCTCAGGAGTGATGAGGCAGCCTCACAGTCCCAGGAGGGTCTAGAAGAGTCCTGGAAGGATTACTGTCTCCCATCAGCCCTTTCAGCAGGTCACAGATGCATTCACAGAGAGCATTTCTGCTAGCCGCCCCATTTTTTCATAGGTAAGGAAATGAGAGTTCAGTGTGTGGTGAGGTGGGGCTCTCTGCTTCTTATATCCTGGGTGGTAAAATCCTGTTTCTGGAAGCTTCTTTATTGGCAAGGGGGCAGTGCTCAGTGGACTGTTGTTGTCTGGGAAGTTGCGGCCGCTGTGTGTCAGCCTCGGAGACAGTACTTGTGAGGGAGTTTCATGCACTAGGTTTCGGGGCAAGATCCAAGAGACCAGGAAACCCAGACACTGAAAATAGAAGACTCATCGGTAGACTGGGTGAGATCAACTCAGGAAGAGAAGTTCTTAGGTCAAAGGTGTGGTTTCTGCTGCCCGTAGGCAGGGCCATCAAAAGGTACAGTACAGTACAGCACACACCAAATTAGCTGCCACCTGATCAGTTTACTCCACCAGCAAGAGAACATTAGTCATTAGTTGTTTCTCAACTTCCCCCCTCCCCTTCTTTCTCTTAGAAAAACCCTGTTTTGCCTTTGTTACATAGAATCAGCCTGTTCACTGACTTCCCTCGTGTATAAGTAAAGCAGTATGCTAACAATTAACAGCATGTGCTGTTATTCTCTGTCAATATGCTCTTAGTTCATTCAAAATATTTCACTCTTTAGAGAGAATGTGATAGCCCTAGAGTTTGAGAACGATACTGAGGCTCCATCAGGCTGCTTTTGCTACTTATGTTTAAATATTTGCTTGTTGGATTAACTAATCAATTATTCTATTCATGTATGGCTTTCATCATTAATTAAAAAAACCCCAACTATTTTGAATTTAGGCACTTTATCAAGAGCTGGCCGGGTAAACCTGTTGAACTCTGTCCTTCAGGAAAGTCCACTCTTCCCTCAGCATCCCCAGCTTAGTATATATGTGTGACACTTTGATGTTGATGAGAATAATAAAAGTGTGAAGTGATTTTACCTCTATCGTGTGCACCCATGAAACTTTCACTCATCCATCCATCCATTTATACTACTAGTTAGTTAACTCACGATAAGAATTAATATGAATCAGCAGGAGAAAATTGGCTGCATTATAGCAAGTCATCTATTTATAAATTTTGTTCAAAGTTATCCATTGTGTTAAATTCGTATTATTTTGTCAAATGTTTCTTGTCCTAAGCTACATTTTTAACTCTCATTTTAAATAGTCATCAAAAAAAAGCTGCTTATTTTATTGGACTTGCCTTTATCCTCTTCAAAAACCAAGACTAGTACCACCACCATCTATATTTGTCTCAGCAGGAGAAAATTGGGGAATTTGAACAGAATCTAATTTTTGAAAGATAACACATAGCTAGAGCTCTGCTCTAGAGAAAACAAGTCTTACTTACTTGTTTTGAGCTGCTGAGAAGCAACTGTGATTATCACATGCACTATGATGCTGTGCTTTCTCATGTTCAAAGATGGAAATATAAGGACTAAAAGAACTCCAATGATAAATAGAATGTAACCCTGAGCCACAGAGTTCTTTCAAGTTTCTAGTCTTTCTGGTCAGAACTTTGCTCAGCCTTATTGAAAAGCAACTTTTCCCAGGGTAGGAAAATTACTGAACAGAACTGATAGTTCATCTAGTTCCTGTTAAAGTCTAGAAGAACAACTTCTTGGAGATTTGGACACATCTAAGAAATGATATCACATAAAACAAAGAGAGACAGAGAGGGAGAAGATGCTTTCTCTGTCTGAATGTAGTCTCTGTCTCATTGAATTTCTGTGCAATTCCAACAAACAATTCAGACACTTTGCTCTGTGAAGACTAATCCAACTTCATGATTGATGTTAGGATGTAGCCTCTGTCCACTTAGTCTACCTAGCAGTGTTGCCTTACTTTTAATCCCCACCCCTCTTTTTTTCTCTCCTTCTTTCTCAAATGTTTCTTTCACTTCAGCACACAAGTTTTCTTAATTCTCTCCCACATTAAAAAAAAAAAGATATATAAAAAGAAAATTCCTTTGGCTCTAGGACTGTCTCTAGTTGCTGCCCTTTCTATGCACTTCCTTCCTAGGCACTTCCAGAATATGTCATTTACACCCTACATCCACTTTTTGTCATTAGCCCCACCCATCATTAGCATTGTGACTTTGCTCTATTACGTAGTCGGAATTGCTCTTATCAGAATCATTCACCCCTTCCATCTGACTCTTTTCAGTAATTTTCTTCCTTCTCTTCCTGGGGCATTCACTGACTCTGTCCTTCCTGAATGTCTGTCTTTCATGGTTGCATGGATAATATCTTGGGGGGATTTTCGTTCTAGCTCTCTGGTTGCTCCTTCTTTAGCTTTCTCTAGCACATTTTGAATCTGCCTGCCTGCCTGCTTCTGCAAAGGGTGAATCATGACCCTGACTCAGAAAATGGCGTCTCAGTGATGTCATGTGGGTATCAGGCATGCCACAGCTTTGCCATGAGAAAGGGTGCTTCACCTTTGTGATGTTCTTTCAAAAGAAACTGGTGAGCCCAGTCTCATGGTGAGAAAAATCTCTCAGACTAACTGCAATTGAGAAACATTCAACAAAATACCTGGCTGGCATTCTTCAAAAATATTAAAGTCATGACAAATTGAGAAATGTTTAGAAAATGTCAGATTACAGGGGCATGACAATGTCATGTGGTGTCCTGAAATTGTTCTTGGAAGAGGAGAGGGACATTCATTAAAAAACTGATGAAATTAAAAGAAAAAGTCTAGAGTTTAGTTGAAATTAATTAATGTATCATTTTGGCAAATGTACCACAGTAATGGGAGATGCTTATGTTAAGGGAAACTGGCACTGGGTGAGGGTTTTGGGAGAAAATCTTTGGGTTGTCTTTGCAACTTTTTTGCAAATCTATTGCAGATGAAAGGTGTTTTGTTAAGAAATATAAGTCATAGGCTCCTATACAGTTCAGTCACATGTTTACAAGCTCTTT